AATACGTGTCTAATATTTTTTGATACTCAACAACATATCCAAAGCGCATCCAAATCGGGTAGGGACACTTCCGACCGTTCCCTTGTTAGTAATATTTAACAATGAGAGACCACGGTGTTACGCGCAAACGCGATAAGTATTTCTAGGTTATATGACTGACTGACAGCGTGCTGTCCGCGCAAACGCACTGAGCGACGAGCGCGCACGTACGCGTATATGCTGTCTCTTTTTAGTGTAGCAACACTGTCATGGAGGGGACCCGGGGGGACGCTCGACATGTTCTCAAATACCATCTATCGACGAAAAAAACAACCGTACGGCGACGACGACGTATCTTAATTGTAAATTTTACCATTTCAGACTTTGCATCGTAATATCTCCGCTCGTAGGGCACGTAGCGGAAAAAAACACTCTTATTTGTAAAGCGACCCAAGCTATCGATCAAGCCTACTGAGAACTTGATCCGTTCACTCGTTATTGAGATCTCAAAATCTCGGTTACTCGCAACTCGTGCGTTCGCGTAAATGAGTCACGGTGCGTCTCGCTCCGCGCGTATTTGGCGCGAGACACTGCCGTGTCTCTTGATCGAAGCAAACGTATTTTTGCAGGTCGAAAGTAAAATTTCTTCCGCGTCGAAAGTTTGTAATATCTTAAGTATTATTGTCGGTAAATCTGAAGAATAGTGGCCTCCTCACCGATTTCGTTCAACTTGGGCTTAATCGACGCGGTAGTGCCACACTGGAGGCGGCAGTGTGGTCTAGTGGTAGAGTGCCAGACTCGTAATCTGAAGAACCAGGTTCGAGTCCACTAGACATGGAATTTATTTTCCGAAAGCTGCGCCCTCCGTGCAAGATAGGCCTCTTGTGCGGAGCACAAAACTGGGCTCCGCGTTTTTCGGAAAGAGACGTTAAGCCGTTGGTCCAAAGGATTAACATTATCTGTGATATAACCTTTAAGGCCATTGCTGGCCTTGAATGATGCATTTTATCATCTTAATTATTATTGTCTTTCCGAATCTCAAAGTAAGTGATTCTAAAGAGTAATGCATGCTAAACACGAATCCAGTGCAGTTTTTTTATTTTCATTGATTTCTATTATTTTATAAGCGACCAAACCTAAAACTTGTGTTCGGGGCGAAGTCGTTTCCAAGCCAAAACGAAGTCAAGGAAGCTAAATAATATGCGCTGCGTATGCTCAGAGATAATAGAAAACAGGGCTGATGAAAAACAGTACATTTCGTGCAGGCGTAAGGCACACAACGAGTGCGTGCGCTCGTCAGACTCCGTTTTTACATGCTTTAACTGTTAGCGAAAAAAAAATTGATTTTCTTGAAATTATTTTCCGCTTTCCATTTTTCTACTAAAAAAACAATGAATAAAGTGTATTCTATTATTTTTTATGATCAAAATTATGTATCTTTATTTAAAATCCAGTCCAGGAATAAAGACACGACTCTACCCCGGGAATTTTGACTTTTCGATTTTTGCACCTTTGTCGTTTTTACTTTATACCGGTTGAACAAAGCGACGTAGACCAAAAATGCCTATATAAATTTTGTAACCAAGGGTTCACTCTTTACAATTGTTAGAAACGGGTAATAAGAATCGTGAAGAGATTGTGTATGTGAACATTGTTGGTGTAAGTGGCAATTCGGTAGAATGCTCACAGATGGCGTCGGTGTTACAGTTCCCTAGTTATCTTTAACGTTATGTGTTTCGCGAGCGCTGCGACGACCACGTTGCGCCCCAGCGCCGGAAAACGGTACGAAAAGACGATACTGCGCAAGCGTGAGAGTGTCGGGACGGGCGTGAAGCCCGCCGAACAAGTATTCGTCTTCCGGCTAGCGAGGCGTACAGTCGCGTTCATTTACATCGGCGTCGTATATTCGTATAATTGCTACGCGATTGAAATCCGCCAGACTATTGAGTCTGAGACAGAAAGAACGAGGACGTCTCCGTAATATCAGAGGAGGCATTGCAGCCCTGCTCAGAGGCGATTGAAAGTACCTCGCTCGATCCGACTGAAGGAAGGACAAACTTAGCCATTGCGACGTGGCCTCGTTGAAACGGAACGAAGCGGCCATCTTGGACATTGCGACGTGGCATCGTTAAAAAGGAACGAAGCGGCCATCTTATCCATTGGAGAAGGTTCTTACGGTTTTGGTCGATGACCATCATTACAATTTATCACCGGCGGATGCTTTCAGGTAAAATATCGAACTCGTGTAACTCAGAGATCACATACGAGATTGATCGGCAATTCTCAAGCGGATTATGATGAACGCAAGGTCATCATAAAATGCGATCGTCTGATTGCAGAATTCGAGAAAGCACGGTGCGATGGATATCGTCCTCGCATAAAGCACGGGGCGATGGATATCGTCCTCGCATAAAGCACGGAGCGATGAATATCGTCCTCGCATAAAGCACGGAGCGATGGATATCGTCCTCGCATAAAACACGGGGCGACGGATTGTATCCTCGCATAAAGGCTACGTAGCTAACTAAATATTCCGGAATCAATTATCTGTCTGAGCTCAGTAGAACTTAAAGTTATTTGGAATGGTTGCAACCCGCGAATAAAGTCATTGATTCTCGATGTGTAGTAATTTAACTTGCATTATCGATGCACACGTGATTCGGATATTCACACATAGTCTGTATTATCTTAACGAATATTGCGATTCAACCCGTGGCTATTTGCCAGCTATTAACGTTTACGAAACACCGTATTACATACGAAAAGTTAATTATCATTTAATTGAGTTCGCTCTTCATTTATCGAATTATGTATACTACTCACTTGAAATATTTATATAACTGGATTGACTGCGGAAGTTACTGTATCAATTAATAGAAAGAAAGTGCACTATATTGAAGTTACAGAATCTCACATAATATTTATATAAGCCTAAACATTCTCTCGAATGCTTTACTTTACATATGTTTATTTGCTTACTTGTTAAGTAAGAGATATATATACCTCTAAGGATTATTTTCGACGAATTACTAGTTGACACAGTACTTCAATTCATTTATGCTTTGTATATTCTTGCTATATTTATGTAATGTGTTTTGAATAATATGTTTAACTTACATGATCCTTTCTTACAACAGACATAAGTATTGAAACCACTTGACTGTTTTCTCTGATCAAGATACAAAAATAATGGAATTCTGTCTTCTTACAATCATTTATGATGAGAGATTAACTTATTGTAGTGACAAATGAGAAAGGATTATGCATGGATAATTCAACATTATCTTATTTTGTATTTATGCTATGTGTTCTCTGTCTAACATTTTATTACGATATATTCGTTTATTAAGACATAACTAACATGGAAATACACAATCTCTTTACCGACGTAACTAGAAAATAAATGTCGTTCCCTATTCTGTAAATCTTGAGACCAGGCTCCTGCGCGAGCTTGTACGTTTTAAACAACAATGGTATACTATATTTCACTAAAATGATTTATTTTGTTGTTAAAAATTGACACCGAAAAAAATGGCCGACTTCGCCTCGGTCTTCCCTACCCGTACAATGCGGGTACCCGTGTCAATATTACGGATACCCGCTATACCCGCGTGAATACGGGTATCGACGCGGGTATAACAGCGTATGCTACAGATATCTGTATATTACACGGAGACGCGTATACTTGCTCGGTATTCGACAATATATTGATCTGTCGGACGCCGAGCCAAAATAATATCTGCTCGTAACTGTAAAACTGAGGGGCGCAGTGTGGTCTAGTGAGAAAGCGCCAGACTCATAACCCCGAAGTATCGGGTTCGAGTCCACCTGAACACGGAAATTTTTTCCACCAGTATATTTCAGACTGCGCCCCACCGCACGAGTGGCTCGTGCGAAGAAACGGTGCCATCGTAGGCAATTAATTAAGACCCCCAAAAGCTTAGGACTAAAGTACCTAAAGACACTAAGATTTTGGAAAAGTGCTAGGGTGACAGACCTGATAAACCTGGTACTAGGCTAAGAGCTGGCCCCAAAACACCTAGCAAAGAAAGAGCGGGAGGTACAAAGGATCTTAGGATCTAGGTGCCATCGGGGGCTCAAGTAGAACCCCCCGCTTACTACTACTACTACTAACTGTAAAACTGGGAAGCCTGCCTGTCTGGCTCACCTGCTTAAAAAAATAAGTGGGAGAAGAGACTCAAAAGGGACTCAAAGCTGTTACGAAAGATTAATATATCTCCGAATACCGAGCAAGTCAAATCTCGCACGGACGTCTCAGACCCACGTATACACTAGACATAATCTTTTTTGTAAGTAATAATTTTGCTAATTTTATTCAAAGTTTATTAAAGGTAAAATATTAAATAAACGATGTTTATTAAAAGACTATAAAATCGTTAACTACAATGTAAACAGATGTTTTGTAAATTTTTTCAGATTTTTTAAAGTACTTTAAGGTAGGGAAAATAGTGTTGAACATGACAGACCCACGTATGCACTAAAAAGGTACCGAAAGAACGGACGGTTAATATAAGCATTCTTTCATACATTTTTGAAGCATGTGAAAATATATGTTTTATTACTCTGCATATACGCGTCTCCGTATAATATACAGATCTATAGCATACGCTGTTATACCCGCGTCGATACGGGTACCTGCATCGTACGGGTACCGAAATTAGGGCTGGTAATTTGCTTCGAAGGATTCGATATTCGAAGCTTCGAAGTTGACAAAAATAACAGCCCCTAGTCTTGTATAGCATAAGATATTTTTATAATAATGAATTATTAATAATATTATGCCAATTATATAAAATTGCGTACTTTTTAATAGATAAATATAAATCTTTTCAATATATTAAATTAATTGTTTGTTGTCAAACTTACTTATTATAAAAATAAACTGATAACTATCAGTTAACATTACTGAACAATTAATAAGCCGAAAATTTGCAATAAAAAAATAATGATAAGGCACGTTGTATATTAAATTAGCAAAATATTCTATAAAAAATAAATACCTTGCGTAATTGCTGCTACACCTCTTTCGTGTACAGGAGAACCCGGAATACTCGCAGGGCTATGTGAAGGTGATGCTAATCTCTGTAACTGTTGATATTCTTGTTGAAGTGCTTGAATGCCTGGCCCAGGAGCACCCGATCCTTCCGATGCCCGACGAACAGGTGAGTATCTTTCAGTAGCAACATGGCTGCTTGGTTCCTTATACGAATCCCTATTACTTACTGAAATTAATGTAAATATTAGAAATACTTTTCTCAACATAATGGCTGCGTTCGGGGAGCGCGCTATGGTGCAGACACGTTCGCGCGCGCGCGTGTGCGTGTGCGTGTGCGTGTGTGTGTGTGCGTGTGCGTGCGCGTGTGTGTTTGTGTGTGTGTGCGCGCGCGCGCGAACGTATGTATAAATTAAAAATTATCTATCTAATTCGCATAAAAAAACTTAATGATAAATTTATTTAAGCTATTCTTCTTGAAATAAGAAAGACGTTGATACTAAATACAAAAATCTTTTCGTGTGAGATATGTCACATGTTATATTTTATATTGTGCACCATACACACATGCATGCATGCGTATATGTACACGCACCGGCATAATTATCGTGGCGGCTAGGTATGTGTGTGCTTATATAAATAATCTTACCGCCAAGGGCCACACCATTTCTGCCGATGCATGTATTGCGTGATGCAAAGAAATATGTGTATGTGTCCGCATACAATTTTAATAAAAATTAGCTACCGCTCGTATTTAATAACAAAATATTGATTACAAATAATGAAGAAATTTGTTAATATTAACCAAATTATTTCGTCATAATCACTAAACCCTTTACTTGAAGCTATTTCATCAACCCTTGGTTATTATAACTAAAACCTTTTTTCAGTGTAGAATAATGCTTATAGCGTTGAAAGCGTCAAGACGAATCCAGCCTTTGTATCCTACAGGTGACTTGACATTTATTTCTTTATCTTCCTGTATGTATTGTTTCTATCGAAATTATTTCGATGGTGTAAAAAGATGTTTTCAATCCTCTTCCAACAAATTCTGATATTCCTCTTTCCAGATGTCAAGAGAACAGAATCTTATATATATTTTATTACCGTATTATATTTCTCTTTTAATGTAATTAAATTATTAGTTTTTTCTGTATTATCCATGGTTGGCTTTTTAGTACTTTATATCACACGTGCGTGGAAAGTGGCCCATTCCGCGCGCGCCATCTGTGCGACAAATAGCCAATTTCCCACGCGAGAAATTCCCCACTCAAACCCGTGCGGGAATATCTCATTCCCGCACGGCTTCGAGTGAGAAATCTCTCGCGCGTGCGAAATCGGCCATCCGTGCGAGAAAAAATAGTTATTTGTGTAACAAGTAACTATTATAGTATTCATCTTACTTTGTTTTTTTTTTCGCTATAATTTTGTTTGTAAGTTTACTATGACTTTTTATTCTCTCTTGTGTTTAGTGAAATCGTTATTGGATAATAATTTAAACCATATGTCTTTAATCTATTGATATTCCGCAAATATCAGGTATGTACAAAAAACCAAATCAATATTGAATGGTCATTATCTTGATTCTCCTAACTGTGTCATTATGTCATTATGTGTTGAGATATATCATATTTGCATTTTCTGCTGCTTCCAGTAAATTTTCTCCGTTGATGTCCGTATCATAGCAGTTTCACGCCGTATTATATATATTACCGTTAGAACCTGAATTCTATCAATACTCGATTTAATTAGTCAAAACTAGTTTTATCAAAGGCCTATCGTCAATACTAGTAAAAAAAAAGATAAATACGTTTATTGACTCCCCTCACGGTTGCCAGGCGTTTTGTAGGGACGTTCCCAACCCTTTATTCAATTCTCATCCAATACTATCCTTCTCCTCTCATTTAACCCTTTGGACCAACGGCTTAACGTCTCTTTTCGAAAGACGGAGCCCAGTTTGCTCCACACAAAAAAATTTTCCACTACCGTGTCTCTTGATATTACTCGTATATTCTTCTTCCATTACCTTTTGTTTAGCAATCCTTTTCCTTCTTATTTATTCAAGTTTTAAGGCTCCTGGATGGTCACCGCGGCCATATTGGATTCTTACTATCGAGGCGAGGAAAACACCCAATTTTGTTGTGCATGCCATTTTCAAATAAAAAGACATTTCAATAAAACATCACTATAGATCGTTTCAGAACACTTCCGAAATTGACCGAAAACTATCCTTTTCCCTCGACAATAAACAAACAACCATAAAACGCAGCCTAAACATACGGGAGAAACAACCGTTTAACGACTGTCGAAAGGAGGTGAAAACGTTCCTTCCGCATGCAAATTTTACTTTTCGGTCAATTTTACGACTTTCACGAATACGTTAAACGTTAGAGCACAAGCACAGAGCGAATAATAAAAAAATAGCATGCACAACAAAATAGGTTGTCAACATGTCACAAAGGACAGAATTCTCCATTGGAGAGAGTTCTGATTTCTGCCGCGACAGTACGTCGCCACCGTCAACGCAGAGTTCTCGGCTCAGGGACCAGGAGCCTTAATATGTCTCTTTTACCTGTTAATATGTCTATCAACTTATTAATTGTATAGTCCTATTCCATTATCACTTATCTGCAAGAGATACAATGTTACAAGGAGATAATCTTATTTTCTATGTATACTAATAAGGAAATACCCAAACTTTTCAATTTGGATGAATTTTTGTGGATATGTATAGCAACTTAATATGAATAATTTATATGCTTCATATTGTGCTTACTATAATATTTTCAACTTCAAAAAAGAGCTTCCATTTTTTAGGATATCGCAACTCTTAAAGTACAAGTAATAGAAAAAAAATGTTTAGAATAAAAGTCCAATGATAAGTTAAGTTCTACAAAGTGACATAAACAAAATTTTTTTAAATTTTTATTTATGTTACATTGTAGACCTTAAGGCTCCTGGGTACCTGCCGCGGCCATGTTGAATCGTGACGTCAGAAGCGAGAAAACGACACGTCAAAAATTCTTGCGTGGTATTTCCAAATAAAAAAATATTTGCTTAAAATAACATTACAAATCGCTTCAGCACACTTCGAAAATACTTCGAGTTCTTCAGATTTGCTAGGAATGTACTACGTTCAAGATACTACGCAAGAATAATCAACGTATCAATTCTCAACATTTCTCGCTTATTCTCCATTGGAGAGAGTGAGAGGAGATGGTTCTTATTTCTACCGCGACGGTACGTTGCCACCGTCACCGCGGAGTTTTCGGCTCAGGGACCAGGAGCCTTAATTTACCATTAAACTTTTATTCTAAACATTTTTCTTTATCTCTTGTAGTTTAAAAGTTATACGCGAAAAAGTAAAAAAGCTCTTTTGACTTTGAAAACCATACCTTTAGGGCGATAAAATACAAATAAAGCATATCCGTTATTCATCCATCCACACATCATCCATTTTTCTTCTTTACATATCCACCGCTATACATTGTTATTTACAACCGCTCTAAAGCTGTTTCCATTACTGTCCCTACTCACGCTCCTTCCTAACTTATCTCTTCCTCTTTTTTTTCTTTTCCTTTATCCTATCTTTTTTATAGCATTCCTCTCTCCTTTTCCATAATCTATTTAACACCTTTCCTTTTTCCATTCTAAATTTGTTATCGTATATATTCACTAATATTTCTTTGTTATTCCTATCTAGATTCTCAAACCACATACTTATGATATTGCACTCGCTTATGTAATGCTCTAAGTTGTCCCTACCTATCTTGCATAATCTACACTTTATATCGTCTTCATCCAGCCAATATTTATTTGTGTCCTCTAAATTGCCGCACCTTAATTTTACCATCGCTCTAATCTCATCTCCTGTTTTTACTTTATCCAAGTTAGCTTTTAATAAATAACTGGGTGTCTTGTTTCTCGCCTCTATCTCTTTGTACCTTGTATTACACCTTGCCTCTGCTATTTTACTGTTTATTATTTGCCCTTGATTGTCCTGTTCCCTTATTCTTACTAAGCCTTCAGTATTTTTACCTTCATTATTTAATTCTTTTATTACTTCAGAGCTCCAACCATTGTTACTATAAAATCTTTCTCGTTCCAGATTACATAAATCCTTTTTCTTTTTAGCCATTATGTCTTTTTCATCCCAACATGCCTTTACTAAACTTCCGTCTTTTTTCTCTCTGCCTCTTTTCTCGTACCTCATGGCTCTTATACCCCAACAAATTTTTAGTTTCTCTAATCCTAGTTTCCTTAGTATTACATACCTCGGTGTGCAAAAATCTAGTCTAAATACCCATCTTACATAATCCAACATGACTTTTTCTAACTCCTTTTTTTCACTCCACTCCCATACCTTTGCTCCGTATTCCATTACACTTTTTAGTAGGTACTTAAAAAGCATCCATCTCCTATTAAAATCATCTTTGCATAATTTTTCTCCTAAACCCTAGACCCTACTTGCAGCGATCCTTCCTTTCCTATTCAGTTCTTTTATATGATCGACATAATTACCTTTCCTATTAAACGTAAATTCCAGATATTTGAACGTTTCTACTTCCTCTATTATTTTATCGCTCTATTTCCATGTCTTCCTACCTTTTTTACCTTTACTATTAAATACCAACACTTTAGTTTTTTCTGTACTTAATTCTAGTTTCCTTTTTTTTTTAAATATTTTTAACATGCTCATCATATCTAGTAAAGCATCTCTGTTTTTCGCTACCAAAACCATATCATCCGCGTATGCTAATAACCACACTCTCACTCCTCCTAGCTCTATCCCTCCTATGCCACGCATTTCTAAAGCTTTATCAATGTCCGCAATGTATAAATTGAACAGGGCGGAACTCATCACACAGCCCTGCCTTACACCTTTCTTCGTCTTGAAGCACCTTGTGAACCCATCCTTCTTTCTTATTGTCACCTCCGTCTCTTTGTACATTTCTTTTATCCTGTTTATTAAACTGCATTACACTCCTTTCTCTTCCATTATCTTCCATAAAATTTCTCTGTCAACGTCGTCGAATGCTGCCCTTAAATCCACAAATATTGCGAAAATCTTGTCTTTCCCAATTGCCATACCTTCCTCCTTCTTCCTTTGCACTATATGGTTCAAGATAAATATGTTGTCCATCGTAGACTTCCTTTTCCTAAAGCCGGCTTGCTGTCAGGTATCATTCCTTTCATCTCCATTATTTCCTCCAATCTGTTCTTTAGAAT